CATTGCCCAGGGGATACTTCACGCCCGGAAGAGGAGGTGAGTATCCTTGAAAAACAGATGGACCTCCATTAGTACATACGGAGAAGAAAAAAACAAATGTCGGCATGCAGTCCTTTAATTCATTTTAGTTAGCGAAGTTCTAAACTCTGAATATATTGATTCACATTAAACCTGAAACTGGCTGTGGAGATAATAAACCAGCACCTTTATTTGGTCATTTCTTTCTTCATTGTAAATTTAATTATAAGCTAGAATTTCTTCTAACCATGGATGATTAAGTTTGATATGATACATAAGTATTTTGATATTATCGCATAAGTACTATTATTTTAAGTAACTCCTGCAGTTATAAAGACTTCATCTTAACCCTAACAAATGAGACAGAGACAGGTAAAAAAAAAAAAAAAGACCCTGTGGGGAAACTCTCAGAGTTACGGTCTCTTTTCTGTATACAGGCAATACCGGTTAAGTAGCCAGAAGAAATATAAACTAGTTTGTGATTTAAACATGTCCACAATAAAGATTACATCTGCAACAAAAATAACGTTTGTAATGCTAAGTGTAGGACACAAGGTACTTATATCTCAAAAAATGCCATTCCTTCGCCAATGTTGCACAACTCACACTTGCAGAAAATAAACTCCATTGTGTGCTTGTAAAAAGCATTTTTTAATCTGGTGGGTTTTTTGTTACTCCAGTTGTATGTAAATAACACATAGTATTGAAAAAGAACTAGTGGAATTACGCTTAAAAGAACACTAACGTCACCCAGGTCACTTTATCTCAGTGAAGTGGTCCTGTAGGTTTAAACCTGCAATGTAAAAAGGCTGCTTTTTTTTTTTTTAAACATACCTCCAGTAGCGGTCACATGGCTGCAGGCCCGAAAGTAAAGCATTGATTCAATGCATGTTTGTATTCCTAACTCTTTTGTGTTCCTATAAATTGAAAAAACAATGGTGTCTATCTCAAGCAATGACAGCAGATTAGGTCAGTTTCATTCGTCCTAATTTTAATCAACTACCCGAAGCATTATATTTGGAGGAAATTAAATAATATCCTAGACAGATTCAGAGTTCTGTGCGATAATGGTGAGCTGCTTCCGAGCTTCATGCAGTTAGGCCAAACACCCTGGATCAGTAGCAGTTACTCAGTCTCTGTAGTGTATAACAGACATAATCAGGTTTATACACGAGTAAATGTCCAATACAGGTCTTACAGTGATACAAAACAAATTAAAAAAAAAAAAATATATATATATATATAGTATTAAAATAGTGGCAAAGCTTGCTATTTGCCAGTCCGCCTGCCAAGAGTACACATGAAAAACAAACATAGAAAAGAGAGCTCAAGAAACCATACACCATAAAAAATATATAATATATATATATATATATACACACTGTTGATGCTCTGTTTATACACTTGTTAATTCATTGTTCTCTTTTGTTTTGAACACAGCCTCATGTTTTCAGTACGTGCTATTTTGCGGTAAATAGTTTCTTTGCTTAGAACAATTCCAGAAAGCTTAAGTTAAAGGACCCCTCTAGGCAACCAGGCCACTTCAGCTTAATGAAGTGGTCTGGGTGCCAGGTCCCTCTAGGATTAACCCTTTTTTTTTTTTTTTATAAACATAGCAGTTTCAGAGAAACTGCTATGTTTATAATAGGGTTAATCCAGCCTCCAAATCCTCTAGTGGCTGTCTCATTGACAGCCGCTAGAGGCGCTTGCGTGATTCTCACTGTGACAATCACAGTGAGAACACGCAAGCGTCCATAGGAAAGCATTGTAAATGCTTTCCTATGAGACCGGCTGAATGCGCGCGCAGCTCTTGTCGCGCGTGCGCATTCAGCCGAAAGGGAGGATCGGAGGTGGAGAGAAGGAGGAGAGCTCCCCGCCCGGCGCTGGAAAAAAGGTAAGTTTTAACCCTTTCCTCACACCATGTCACATATTTATCCGCTTATAGAAATGTGGTTAATGACATTTACTGTCCACACAGGAAAAGTTGTGCCGAGCAGCAACCTAATCCACAGAAGGGTTAATGCTGAGCAGTAATTGTGCAAATGAAACCCGGTGTCATGTATTCATCCGCTTAGAGAAAAGTGATTAATGATATTTACTGTCCACACAGGAAAAGTTGTGCCGAGCAGCAACCTAATCCACAGAAGGGTTAATGCTGAGCAGCAATTATGCAAATGAAACCTGGTAACTGACTTTGGGGTCAAAGGCCGGTTACAGCCTATCAGAACTAAAGGAGGGGTATTTAGGCCCAGTTCTCAGCCTGCTCAGTGCCCTGTCGTGGTTTCCTTTGTGGTTGTCTGAGAGCGCGTTCCTGTTTATAGTTTTCTACCTGGTTTTTTACTTTGGCTTTGTTTATTGACTTCTCTATATTCTGGTATCCTGACTCCTGGCTTTCCTCATCGCTGTGTCCCTTTCTGTGTTCCCTGACCTCGGCTAGTATTTTTGACTATTCTTTGTACGTTAAATCCGGCCATTCTAAGGACCGGTAATACGCTACTTATTTGTCATCCGTGCTGTACAGTTCTACGTGCTGGATCAAACAGTAATCCTGACATTACGACATGACCATAGATCCTGTAGAACTGTGTCAGCACATAGCTACTTGTGAGAGGAAATTAGAGGAGAATGATCACCGCATGGATCAATTCACTCAGGCTTTAAGTACGCTTCTTGCTAGAACGGAGCATCTGCAGCCTGCAGCGTCTCCTCCTATAGCACCTCTACCCTGTGTACCTCCACCCACTGTTAATAGGACTCCTTGCATCTCCTTATCACCATCCCTACAGTTTGATGGCAATATCCAGGAATGCAGGGTTTTTTTTAATCAGGTGGAGTACCATTTTGAGGCCTCACCAGGGTCATTCCCCACGGACAGAGCAAGAATTGGTTATCTAATGAATCAATTAAAGGGCAAGGCCCTTGCCTGGGCTAATCCGCTGTGGGAGAGTAATCGGAGCATAGCTCATAATTACCAGGAATTCCTTGCCGAATTCAAGCTCACGTTTGAGCCATTGGGTAGAGAGGATGACGCCTCCGCTGCCCTAATGCACATCAGACAAGGTAACCGGTCTATCTCGGATTATGCTATTGAATTCCGTACCTTAGCTTCCGAGGTAGACTGGACTAACAATGGGTTAATCTCAGCATTCAAAAAGGGTCTCTCAGAGACTATACTAGATGAGATAGCCGCCAAAGAATTACCTAAGAGTCTTAACGAATTTATTACGTTTGTCATGCATATTGATAATAGGTTAAGACTCAGAGAAGTCACCAGAAGCAAGACCAGACGTACGGCTATGTCCCTAGCACCTCAATTCTCTAAACCTGTTTTGTCTAACCTCCCTGTACAGTCCGAACCCGAACCTATGCAATTGGGGGTCACTAGACTGTCAGAGGCCGAAAAACAGTATAGGAGAAGGGAGGGGTTATGCCTATATTGCGGTAGAAAGGGACATATGATAACTAATTGTCCAGTGCGTCCGGAAAACTTCCGCACCTAAGAACCTTAAAGGGACAGATCTTAGGTGTGATGGAGTTGTCCTCTAACAAAAACAAAAGTAGATTCCTCCTTGAGGTATCTATTTCCATTGATAACAAGAAGTTTTCTTGCAGTGCCCTAATGGACTCAGGTGCTGCTGGAAATTTTATTGATGTCCAGTTTATTAGGGGTAATGAGATACCGGTCAGGGAGAGACCTACGCCGCTAGCTGTAGAGGCTATTGATGGTAGACCACTCACACAACCGCTTATAACCCACGAAACTGTCCCTATTACGATCTCCATTGGGGCCTCCCATAGGGAGGAGATGACGTTTCAGGTTATTACTTCTCCATCATGTCCTATCATATTAGGGTTTCCGTGGCTGAGTAAGCACAATCCCTATATTGACTGGGCTAATGGGGAGATATTAGAATGGGGTAAAGAGTGTATGGGGAGATGTATAAAACCAGTACTAAAGAGATTGGATACTATTGACCTTCCCACTACCACTCCCCAAACTCCTGGAGTTCCCATACAATACCAGAGAACTTCAGGAGGTGTTTAACAAGGCTCAATCCGATGTATTGCCTCCCCACAGAGCATATGACTGTGCCATTAACCTGTTTCCAGGCGCTATGCCACCTAAGGGGGCAGTTTATGCCTTATCTCCCCAGGAGAGTAAAATAATGGAGGAATACATCAAAGAATCCTTGAGCAAAGGGCACATAAGAAAGTCATCCTCACCAGCTGGTGCAGGATTCTTTTTTGTTGAGAAAAAGGGTGGTGAGTTACGCCCTTGCATAGACTACAGGGCACTTAATAAAATCACTGTAAAAAATGCATACCCTATCCCACTCATTTCCGAATTGTTCGATAGACTTCAGGGAGCTAAAGTATTTACTAAGCTTGACCTTAGGAGCGCTTACAATTTGGTTAGAATTAAAGAGAATCATGAGTGGAAGACGGCATTTAATACCCGTAGTGGACACTATGAATATCTGGTAATGCCATTTGGGTTATGCAACGCCCCGGCCGTATTCCAAGACTTTATAAATGATGTACTCAGGGAATTCATTTACTCATTTGTCTTGGTTTATTTGGACGATATTTTGGTGTATTCCCCTGATCTTCAAACTCACCACTCCCATGTGAAACAGGTTCTGCAGACGTTGTTGAAAAATAAACTTTATTGTAAATTAGAAAAGTGCATATTTGACCAGCCTGAAGTCCACTTTTTGGGTTACAACATCTCTGCATCGGGATTTCAAATGGATCCTAAAAAACTAGAGGCTGTACTACACTGGCCATTACCCTCTGGTTTAAAAGCCATTCAAAGGTTTATTGGTTTTGCCAACTATTACAGAAGATTCATCAAGGGATTTTCTTCTGTAATAGCCCCAATCACAAATATGACTCGCAAAGGGGTTAGTAGCACGGTATGGTCCAAAGAGGCTGTGAATGCTTTTGAGACTCTTAAACAAAGATTTGCCTCTGCGGACATACTAAAACATCCTGACACCAGTAAACCTTTTATATTGGAGGTTGATGCATCCGAGACAGGGGTAGGGGCTGTTCTCTCTCAGAGAGAAAGCCAGGGAACACCATTGCATCCTTGTGGCTACTTCTCCAGAAAGATGTCTCCTGCTGAGCGCAACTATGATATTGGCAATAGAGAACTGTTGGCCATTATTCTTGCCCTCAAGGAGTGGCGACATCTTTTGGAGGGTTCCAAGGACCCCCTGTTGATCATAACCGACCACAAAAATCTGGCATATATAGGGGATGCCAAACGTTTGTCTTCCAGACAGGCTAGATGGTCACTGTTCCTTTCACGTTTTAACTTTCTCATTACTTATAGACCTGGTTCTAAAAATACCAAGGCTGATGCCTTGTCCAGGCAATTTGATAATGAGTCAGCTCCGGAACAGATGACATCTCCTATTATTCCAGCAGAGTGTATTATTGCTACTACTGTCCTCTCACTGTCTTCTCCACTGCTTGGCACCATACTGGAGGCCCAGCCTCAGGCGCCCAGTGGTAAACCGTGTGATAAACTGTTCGTTCCCCTATGTGAAAGGGTTAATATCATGAAAGTGTTCCATGACAATATAACTGCTGGACACCCGGGCATCAATAAGTCCACTGCCGCGATCACTAGATCATTTTGGTGGGATTCACTCAGGAAAGATGTAAAGGAGTATGTGCAGGCATGTTCTGTGTGTGCAAGTTTCTAAGGTGACTCATGCACTTCCTTGTGGCCTGTTGCAGCCTCTTCCTGTTCCTGAGATTCCATGGTCCCACCTATCCATGGACTTTATTGTTGAGCTTCCTAGCTCTGCTGGGTTCACTACTATTCTCATGGTTGTAGACCGATTTTCTAAGATGGCTCACTTCATTCCTCTCAAGAAGTTGCCATCTTCGCAAGATTTGGTCCTAATTTTCATACGTGAAATTGTCCGTTTGCATGGCATCCCCCACAATATTGTGTCTGATAGGGGCTCTCAGTTTGTGTCCAGGTTCTGGAGGGCGTTCAGTAAACAATTGGGGATTGATCTCTCCTTCTCCTCCTCCTACCATCCACAGACCAATGGTACAGCTGAGAGGGCTAACCAGTCATTAGAAGTTTATTTGCGTTGTTTTATTAATAGCACACAAGACAATTGGTCCGAACTACTCCCGTGGGCCGAGTTCGCTAGAAACAATGCTGTTCATGACTCCTCTGGGCACAGTCCATTTTTTGTCAATAATGGTAGGCATCCTACGGTTCTCCCTGCGGTATTTTCTGATCCTGCCATTCCTGCTCTAGATGAGCGTCTGGCCTCCATTCGGGATACCTGGGTTAAGGTTCAAACTGCTCTAGGGGCTGCTGCTGAACGCTTCAAACATTTTGCTGATAAGCGTAGGAGTGCCAACCCGGTGTACCAAGTGGGGGACCGGGTTTGGTTGTCATCTCGCAACATCAAGCTTAAGGTCCCTAGCATGAAGTTTGCCCCCAGATTCCTTGGTCCCTATAGAGTGCTTCGTAGGATCAATCCAGTGTCTTACTCTCTGGCTCTTCCTGCATCTTTAGGGATTCCCAACACTTTTCATGTTTCCTTACTCAAACCTCTTGTCTGCAATAGATATACTGTTCCTTGTGTTCCTCCCCCTCCAGTGGTGGTGGGTGGTCAGGAAGAGTATGAGGTATCTTCTATCGTGGATTCTAGGTTTTCTCGGGGCACTTTACAGTACTTGGTTGTTTGGAAAGGTTACGGTCCTGCTGATCGTTCTTGGGTTTCGGCTCCTGACCTGCATGCGGGCCGTAAGATCCGCGCTTTTCACGCTAAATTTCCTCTCAAGCCTGGTCCTGTCCGCCCGGTGGGCGTTCTTCAGGTGGGGGGTAATGTCACATATTCATCCGATTATAGAAATGTGGTTAATGACATTTACTGTCCACACAGGAAAAGTTGTGCCGAGCAGCAACCTAATCCACAGAAGGGTTAATGCTGAGCAGCAATTATGCAAATGAAACCTGGTAACTGACTTTGGGGTCAAAGGCCGGTTACAGCCTATCAGAACTAAAGGAGGGGTATTTAGGCCCAGTTCTCAGCCTGCTCAGTGCCCTGTCGTGGTTTCCCTTGTGGTTGTCTGAGAGCGCGTTCCTGTTTATAGTTTTCTACCTGGTTTTTGACTTTGGCTTTGTTTATTGACTTCTCTATATTCTGGTATCCTGACTCCTGGCTTTCCTCATCGCTGTGTCCCTTTCTGTGTTCCCTGACCTCGGCTAGTATTTTTGAGTATTCTTTGTACGTTAAATCCGGCCATTCTAAGGACCGGTAATACGTTACTTATTTGTCATCCGTGCTGTACAGTTCTACGTGCTGGATCAAACATTAATCCTGACAGATCTGAGTACTGAATACATAGAGTACATTCCTTATATAGCACTGTAGCTCTTCCCATAATTAGCTATGCCCACACATACCCTTAACCTAATCAATGAATAGAGTCTAAACTCATCCATCCGGTCTAACCACGTGGCTCATCTGAAACAAAGGAGAGGAACGCGTAATTCCAGTTCCTGCATTCCTGCACATGCTCAGTACAGTGATGACAGTATCTTAGCTACGTGTAACTAACTAACTGATACTACAAACACATGTACCTACATATGCCTTGTGGCAATCTTGGCCTGCTAAACTTGTATTTTACTGGAATTCCATCACATTCCCCCCTTTGATGCTTCTGATTTAAAATAATTCCAGATGCATCACCAATCATAGTTTGCTTACACCTCAAGTTGCCATAAACCAGACTAGACTTTGCGATCCTCTAAAGATACGAACCCCTCAACATTCCTCTTCCTGCATGTATTCTCCTTGATCTAGAGCTTCATACCTGCAAACAGCCATTACCTGTGCTGCGGCCTTTCTTTCTGCTATACTTTCTATAATGCTCTGCATAGACCTAATTACCAAAGGAATCAGACATGGCAGAAGGAGACACAACATCAAAATCAGTATGACTCCACCTACCAATGCCTGGATTCCTCCAAACTGCTCATACCAACTACCAAACCAACTACTCGGATTATACCATTTCCATACCTGAGTAGGTACATGTGCTAGCTTAACCATATGGCTAGTAAGCTCAGCTATTGCTTGCCCTTCATCATCTATTTGAAGACAACAATTGCTTAGATTAAACTTCCCACATACACCTCCCTCTACTGCCAATAGGTAATCCAAAGCTAATCTATTCTCGTAGATGGCTGTCCTCATCCTAGTGTTATGCTTCGCTAGGAGATTGAGCGCTTGTGATGTTTCATTGGTAACTATCTCAACGACTGCTTGCAATCTTATAATACGATTAAGCATATATATTGGGGTTCTGTATCCATAAGTACCATCCTCTGCCCACGTAGCTGGCCCATAATAATCTATAATACGCTGGGGAGGCCACTCATCATCTTCCCAGGTACCTATCTCTAGGGGTGCCCTTTTCTTCCTATGATTTACACCATATACTTTAACTCCCAAAGTCTCTCCTGTTTCAATTGGCAACAAGAAGAAGGATGGTTTGAGCATACCCAATACACATGCCCCTTCCCAGTCCTGTGGTAACTCCGAATATGCTTTCTTACCACAAATCCAGTACAAATTTGCTGGGGCTTTCCAACTAGATGTAGCAGATAGGTCAAACCATACATCCTTTAAATTGGTATAATTTGCAAACGGATTAGACGGTTCTGAGACATTTGAAGCTGACCACCAAATAGTATCCTTTGTATCGTCATTATAGGCTTTCTGCCCTAAACAAGTCAATTCTCCTACAGATGTATTAAACATTATTCCTTTCCTTGCTATACAAACATAACCTATAATGGAGGTCTTTAATCGCCACTCAGATTTACCTCTAACACTCACTTGATAATCAGATTGAGAAGATATTAGTTGTTCAACTGTCTCAGAACCAGAATACATTACCTCCTTTGCTTCCCAAGGCCATTGGTCTCCCATATTAGTACCTCCACACACATAGCAGTTGGTTACATTAAGACTACCAGCAATGCTCTCAGCTAGGTCTATGAATAAGTTTTTGGCATTATGGGGAACCTTATCTTCCACACTCATCTCCTCATAAAAAGAATGGAAAACCTGATGAGTCTGGGGGGGCACTGTATCTGTCTCTATTCCTATGTATAATATCGTCCCAGGATCCAAACCTGTTCCATGTATTTGGAACCCAAATAGATTCCCAAACTTATCTATAAATAGCTCTGGGTCCTTGATAAGTATATGGACTGGGTTACACTCCATAGACTTACAATATGGCTCCATAGGCAATCTAGTGATAATCATATCCTTATCTACTGTCTGTCCCCAGGTTGCCCATCCCACACAGGACCAATACGGACAATAATTGTAGTCTTTATTTAGGCAGTTTGGATCTACTTATGCTTATTACTAGGACAAATATACTTATCATTAGACCCATACGTTCTTTCCCATTTAAGACCACCACATACATTCCATGGCTTCCTACTACCTGATATCGCCTTACATACATCAAATAGCAAAACACCTGGAGAATGTACGCTTTCTAGTACAGTCTTATTTATCAGGTTCCCCTGTGCGTTCTCATTCCGAATAGTCAACCAAATTGTACGGGGCTGATACTCAGGATTAAAACACCTAGGTTCTCCTGCTCCTATATGGCATACACTATAATCTGTACCTAGGTATCTACACTTTGATACATGTCCTGTGCACTCATATTGCGAATGCCAAATAAGGGTCTGGGAAATACGATTGCCTGTTTTCGTAGTCTTAATGCAAACCTCGCAGCCTGGTGTGTCGGTACCTCTACCTTCCTGAATAATTAAAAACACACATATATACATCATCAAACACATTACTCCTGACATCTTCTTCCTAATTCTTCGACCGTGCGACGGCACCTCAGCTTCCAGGCGTGTGAGGGCTGCAGGGAATAGAGTCCTTCTGATCCTCACTGTTCTTCACAGAGGATTCCTCTGGCTTAAACGTTGATAGGTGGTCAGGCTTTATTGTGGCCGTCAAAACACCTACATGTAGATCTTTGTTGATGTTCCCTTGTAACAATACTCTTCGCAAAAACCACTTTTAATCTAACTGGGTCACTTGCTTCAACCGGATCTTGCAGGGATTCTCAGGATCTTGAGTAGCTTGCCAAGAATCTGCTGCTGGTTTAACCCTGGAGTGATGAATCCACGGAGTCACCTCTGCCACCTTTATAGCTGTTGGAGTAGACAAAAGAACAGCATAAGGACCCCTCCACTTTGGCCCCAACGGTACACTGTTCCACTCCTTTATCCAAACTTGGTCTCCTGGATGGTAAGAATGGACAGGTGGATAAATATTTACAGGTAACCTATCTTGTACCCATTTCTGTACCTCCTCCATAGTTTTACCCAACTCTACAACCTGCCGCTGGGTAATTCCTTCTCCCAACTGACTCAAGTCCCACCTTAAGTTACTAAGTATGGGAGGTGGACGCCCATACATAATTTCAAAGGGTGATAGACCTAACATTCTGGTAGGTGTACTACGAATGCGCAACAGAGCTATTGGCAAAAGAACATTTCACTTAAGTTGGGTTTCTTGACACATTTTTGCCAACTGGGTCTTAATGGTTCTGTTCATCCTTTCCACTTTCCCAGAACTCTGAGGCCTATATGCTGTATGAAGTTTCCACTTAATACCAAGCATATGAGTCAGTTGTTGTAGGCACTGATGGACAAAAGCTGGACCATTATCTGATCCTATAGAACACGGTAGTCCATATCGGGGTATTATTTCTCGCAACAGAAATCGCACAACTTCTCCTGCTTTCTCTGTACGAGTTGGACACGCCTCTACCCATCCTGAGTAGGTACACACAGCTACTAGTAGGTAACGATGTCCGCCGGATTTGGGCATTACCGTGTAGTCTATTTGGAGATCGGACATAGGAAGCCCTCCCATGTACTGGACTCCCAGTGGTTTCACTGGACCTTGCCTTGCGTTGTTCTTGGCACATGACACGCATCTTCGAACAATGGCTTGAGTCAAGTTGGACAATCTTGGTATGTAGAAATGCTTCCTAAGAGATTCTTCCATACTGTCTCTTCCAGAATGTGTCCCATTATGATTCTGGACAATTTCTACAGCTAGCGATGCTGGAATAACTATTCTTCCATCTTCTAACTGATACCAATTATTCTCCAAATATTTCCCAGCTTCAGTCTTTAACCACTCTACTTCTTGAGCTGAATAAACTGGAGTCCACTGGGACAGAGGGGTCGGTATAAGAGCTGCTACACACTCCACATATTCTTTTTGTCCGGATTCAGCGGCACGCTTAGCTGCACTATCTGCCATCCGATTTCCTTTCACCACATCACCATCACCTTTCAGATGTGCTCGACAATGTATGATACCAACTTCCTTCGGTTCCCATACAGCTTCCAATAGTTGTAATATCTCAGCTGCGTACTTGATTTCTTTTCCTTCTGAGGTCAGTAATCCTCTTTCTTTATACAAAGCTCCATGGGCATGAGTGGTTAAAAACGCGTACTTTGAGTCTGTGTAGATATTTACTTTCAACCCTTCAGCCAATTGCAAAGCCCGTGTAAGTGCGATTAATTCTGCCTTCTGTGCTGATGTTCCTTTTGACAATGGCCACGCTTCTATCACCTTGTCTATAGTTGTCACTGCATATCCGGCATAGCGAATCCCTTCTTTCACGTAACTACTGCCGTCCGTGTAATAGTGAACATCGGGGTTCTGGATGGGAAAATCATGAAGGTCCGGTCTACTTGAGAACACTTCATCCATTACCTCCAGGCAATCATGTCGACTCTCAGTAGGTTGCGGCTAGAGGGTAGCTGGGTTCAAGGTATTAACAGTCTCAAGATGCACTCTTGGGTTCTCGCATAACATGGCTTGATACTTAGTCATGCGGCTATTGCTAAACCAATGATTACCTTTATAGTCTAGCACTGCGTGCGGGACTCGCACATAGAGTTTCTGACCCAGAGTGAGCTTGTCAGCTTCTGCTACCAACAGGGCGGCGGCAGCCACGGCCCTTAGACAAGGAGGAAGACCACTGGCTACTGCATCCAGTTGTTTGGACATATACGCAACAGGTCGTTGCCATGATCCCAGATACTGTGTCAGTACTCCCACAGCCATCCTTCTTTGCTCATGTACATATAAGTAGAATGGACATGTATGATCAGGTAGACCTAATGCGGGGGCTCTCATAAATGTCTTCTTAACATCCTCAAATGCCTTCTGCTGTTCGATGGTCCACAGGAAGGAATCATGTTCCGTGCCTTTAATAGCGGCATAGAGGGGTTTCGCCAGTATCGCATAACTGG